CTCGGTCCTAACAGACCTGACTGATACGGAGCCCGCAAACTCGTTTTTGCTTGATCCTTTGCACTCCCATCATTCATCATGGTTCTCTTGGATCCCTCTTTGGACAAGTAGTAGCAAGAGACTCCCCCCTAATCGCTGCTACCGGGAGCCCCTCCTGTCCAACAACAGGTGGTGTAGCGCTGCTGCTATGTGGTGCTGGAAGGGCCACGAGCTCCTTCTTTTTCTTCTCATTCACATCAAGCATGTCTTGGTCATAAACTGAGGAGGGATTCAGGCCTCCCCTGATCGGTTTTTACTTCAAAACAAATTGCTCTTTCTTACGTATCATCTCCAAGCGACGAAGAAGCTCGTCTTCATCTAGATCATGTTCCTCTCCAACTGCGGCAAAGTCGTCATACTCCTGCTCAGAAAAAATCATCCTGATGTTGGTTGTTGTTACCTCCACCTCTGTTGGTGCCTCGTCCATGGCCTCCCGACCGCAAGAAACGAGTAGCCCTTAGGTCCTTGAAATAGAGCTTCGACGACAATGAACACCATCCCCACATTTAGTGTACAGGTGCCCCAGCATGCCACATACGGTGCACCGGTCAGGTAAACGTTCATACTTCACCGCATAATCTGATGCTTGTTCTCTTTTACCATAGACACCGCATTCTTCACTGGTTTGCGAACATCCAACTTTACTCTGGCTCTATAAAAAATTCTCTAGCGCAGCAAAAACATATTCCCCAACTTTAGATGCAAGGGGTTTCACCATAGAACTAAACCCATTAGGCCTTGTTCGGCTGCAGTGTATTTAATCCTCTAGTGGATTTAATACTCTAGAGGATTGGGTGACCCCCCACCCTACACCAAATCCGCTCGGGGACTAAATACATGTCACTATGCAATCCATGAAGTTTTAGGTTAATCCTTTACAGGAGTATCAATTAACAACAGGACTTTAGGTCGGCATCGCCAACGCCTTGCTGCAGGTAGAGAGAGAAAAGACAGTAGACAGGGGAGCAGGCACGCACAGAGATTGAAAGAGAGAACCAACCTGAAGATCTCGTCGCCGGCTGCCTCCTCTTCTCCGGCATGAGGTGGCGGGGGAGATTGGATCGGCCGGGCTCCATGGTTGTTCTGGGTCGCCGGCGAGCTCGTGCCTCTTCACCAGGTTATTGAGCTGACGGTTGAGGGGGGGATGCACGTCGCCTCCATCTGCTCCGGTAGTG